TACTTTCTCAAAAATCGAAGAGAAGGTAAAGGAACAGTACCACTGTTGGATAATTGGAAAGTCCCTGTGTGTTAACCTCTGTGCTTTGTGGCAAGGTAGACTAGTAAACATGCCCAACCTTCACTCACATTCGAGAAAACACTCCCAACAAGATTGCTTGCTCCAAAATCGAAGAGGCACCGCCCTCCGAATCTCGAGAGCCAGACTCCCAACATGATTACTTTCTCAAAAATCGAAGAGACACCGCTCTCCGAATCTCGAGAGCCAGACCCCCAGCAGGATTGCTTTCTCAAAAATCGAAGAGGCATCGTTCTCTGAATCTCGAGAGCCAGATCCCCGACAGGATTGCTTGTTCGAAAACCGAAGAGGCACCACTTTCCCAACTTCAAGAGCTGGATCTCCTTGGATAAAGCTTGTCTGTAATCTTCACACGCAACATCAGCTTCCCAGATACCACAGACCACTTTTTCAAAGTGCTCTGACAGAGTTAAAACATGTGAAGCTGGCAGCTCCCACTACCGTGCTATGACCAAGCAGGGTAAAGGAATAGCATTATTACTTGATGTTAGGGAGACTCCTATATATGTCGACCTCCATCCCTAAACGGACAGGCAGACCTGCAAAAATGCTCAACCCTTTCTCTTATCTGAGAGGGCACTCCCAACGAAGCCTTTCGAAATATTCAGCTTTCTTTCCCCCCGATAATACCTCTGTAAACAAGCTATACTAGAGCAAGAATATCTCATATCATCAGGGTTAAAAGCAAGAGTATCCCATATCATGCTTTTTCCCTGTCTTTTCCTTTGGCCTTGTTCTTAACTGCAAGACAAGGAGAAAGAGAGCAATCAGTCAGCACTTGGAATCAAGCTTCCAGCCAGGAACTGACTGCCTGGAACCCCTTACCTGATTACTTACCTGGCATTGCTCTCGAGTACTCATCTTCAACATATTATGCTTCCAAGGAAGATACCGCATCTGCTTGAGAAACAGATAGGGCAAGTGAGAAGGATACAAGGAAGCATGTGGAGACAAGCGTAACAGCACACGTGCCGATACATTCACTACTTTGTCAAAAGCAAAAGTATCCCATATCAGCAGGGTCGAACGTACTCTAGATTTGATGGACTTGTTTTGACCCTCAAATTCTTCAGTCGGCCTTATACTCTGGAGGAAACCAGAAAACCCTCCAGCCCGGTTCAAGAATAAGCCTGTGGAAAGTTACTTCTTCAAAAGCAAAAGTATCCCATATCATCTCTTCTCATTTTTCTTCTCTTTATCCTTCATGCTGCCTGCAAGAGAGGGAGAATGTGAACAATCAGCCGGAGCTCTGATTGCTTACCTTGTCTGTCACCTCTTTCAGCAGATCCCCTAGCTCGGCGACTTGGGGGACTCCTACTACATGGTTTGTATCGCGCTTGACCAAGCCTGAAACTACAAGTAAGCTTCAAGTGAAATTGATACATTACCTTGTGCATCTCCACCAGTTACAGATACCACCCCTGGATGGAGGAAGAGTACTTCCAGAGAAGATGCCACATCTACCTATGAGACAGATAAGGCAAGTCAAGACGATACCACACTCCGGTACTTAGAAGTTTCGTGGTTACGAGATCATTCTCCCACAATATTTCCTAATGTCATTTGTACTAAATCATTCACTTGTACTCACTAAAGGAGAGCTTGAACCTATGTACTTGTGTAAACCCTTCACAATTAATGAGAACTCCTTTATTCCGTGGACGTAGCCAATCTGGGTGAACCACGTACATCTTGTGTTTGCTTTCCAATCTCTATCCATTTATATACTTATCCACACTAATGACCGGAGCAATCTAGCGAAGATCACAAAAAGTGACCGTTTTCGCTACCTAGGATCTATCTTGCAAGAGAACGGAGAATTAGATGGAGATCTCAACCATAGAATACAAGCTGGATGGATGAAGTGTAAGAGTGCATCCGGCGTGTTGTGTGACCGTCGTAGGCCACTGAAGCTCAAGGGAAAATTTTATAGGACGGCAATAAGGCCAGCGATGTTGTATGACACAGAATGTTGGGCGGTGAAGCATCAACACGTACACAAAATGGGTGTAGCGGAGATGAGGATGCTTTGTGGGATGTATAGGCACACGAGAAAGGATAAGATTAGGAATGAGGATATCCGAGGTAAAGTAGGAGTAGCCAAAATTGAAGGAAATATGAGAGAAAATCGGTTCCGGTGGTTTGGACATGTGCAAAGAAGGCCTACTGACGCTCCGGTTCGAAAATGTGACTACGGGACAGAGGTTCAGGGCCGAAGGGGTAGAGGAAGACCTAGAAAAATTTTGGAAGAGACCCTAAGAAAAGACTTGAGTACTTGGATCTAACGGAGGACATGACACAAAACCGAGCGCAATGGCGTTCTAGGATTCATATAGCCGACCCCACTTAGTGGGAAAATGCTTTGTTGTTGTTGTTGTTGTTGTTCATGTAATTCAGGTTGGTTTTGTTTGGAATTGCAGGGTTTTAGCTAAAGGGAATGAATGAATTTAAGCTTGGTTGTGGTTACATGCACTTTCTTGCTTATAATATAAACTATGTTTTGCTTTTGGATTGTAACTTAATCTAAATTCATTTGGAGTTTGGTTTGTAAAACCTAACTTATTTCATTTTGGTTGCATGCACTTTTAATTAACTAGTTTGGTAGACAATTTGGAAGTTTGGTTTGTAAAACTTAACTTATTTCATTTTTGTTGCATGCACTTTTAATTAAATAGTTTGGTAGATAGACTTGTTAGTTGCTTCCTTTATATGAAAATTGAAACATGTGGTATTGTGATATTTGTGGTGAAATTGAAACAGGTGGGCTGGGCAGTGACTGTAACCTTAATTTTTTTTTTTTTGGGCAGTGGCTGGCTGCAATCTTAAAAGCCCAACATTTTGGGCTTCAAGGCCCAATCCCGAAGTATCCCGAAAATCCCGAAACACTTTCGGGAATCCCGAATTTCGGGAAATGCACATTTTCGGTTCGGTTTCGGGATATAAAATCTCATCCCGAAATGTTTTGGTTTGGGATTTGGGAAAGGAGTTTCGGTTCGGGATCCCGACCCGAACCACCCCTAGTTTGCACCATAAGAGGGCTTCGAGATCGGCATGTGAGGCTATCGGTACCCATTGCAATCCAATTGTATGATCTTCAAGAAAGGCTTGGTCTTAACCAGCCTAGCAAGGTTGTCGATTGGTTGCTTGATGACGACCATAATCAAGTCCGGCTGTTGCTAGGGTAGGTGGTTGGGTGGGTTTATATGTTTGTGTAATTTTTTCAAGTTTATCAATTTTGTATTTAAGGGTAAAATGGTAAGTTTGTGGGACAAAATTTCTAAGTTGGGTGTGGAAAGAGGATTAATGGGTTTAAATAAAATTTCCCAAAATGAAAAATGGATCGGCTTTTAAAACAAAATATGTGCAACTCACACATCAATAAGAAAACAGTTTTTCAAGGGCCATAAAGCATTGTGGATAGCGTTGTTCTAAAAGTTTCCGTTTAGTGTCATCTAGGTGCTAGGCGGGTGACCATTGTTCCAATTAATTATTAGGCATTTGAAAATTAAGAAATGGCGTCTAGACTTGCCTAGTCATCCGCGTAGGTCTCGACTTTTACTTAGACATAAAATAATTAACTTTTATTTTGCATTTTTTTTCCATAAATTAAGAGACGTGTTGAGTACTATGACGAACACTCATTATATGTTTGTTCCCCATATTTTCAATATATTCTAATACTTTATAATTTATATGTCATTCTATTTTGCAATATATGTATTCCAATATAATAATTTTTTTTAATATGAATAGACATTTATCTATATGTGATATAATAAATTTAATTAAAATTAAAAAAAAAACTGCCTAGACCCCGCCTAGATACTAGACTCCTGTCTATCACACAACTAGTGGCTAGCGCCTTTTAAAACCTCGGTGGATAGATAGAGGGACGAAAAGAGTTTACCGACTCCACATATGTAGTGTACACTCTCTAGTTTGTCTTACTATTTTTTCTTTTGGCAGTTTCTGTAATTAGTAAGGTATTGATGTTTTTTTTTTGGTTTGGAAACCATCAATATTATCTACACTAAGGGGGAGGGGATGAGCTTAATCTCACAATGAGCTAGTAATAATGTAGTTCAAACTCGGTTTTGGCAAAAATCGAATCTAAAACCTCTTACTTACAAATGAAGAGGAATACCACTAGACGTAGTACTAAATGGTAGTAAGGGTATTGATGTTAGTGCCTATTTTTTTTGTATTTTTATGTCCGCAATGCTAATCAGGTTGTGAGTCCTATTTTAGGTTTAGGATTGGGTAATTTGTGTTATGTACATTCTTTTTTTATAATTAACTAGCCACTTGTTACACGCTGGTGCTTATGACAATTGATTCTTTTTTATTGTTTTTTCACTTTTGTTTCTTGTTTTAATTTTACTTATTCTTTGTAACAGGGGTCGGTCCATTATTTGATAGTTTGAGTTGACGGTATAGTTTTTTTTTTTTTTTTTTTTGTCGATTGACTGTATAGTTTGGGAAAAGGACAAAAAAGGCTGGACTGGGCTCTGAGTGAGAAGGGCCGGATTTCAAGCCCATTTTACAGCCCAATTCCCAATTTAATTTAACCAGAGTTGTGAGTGACCCAATTTAATTTATAGCCGTACGACAACCACAAGCCCTAAATCGTAAGAAATGTGTTGAATATTAGGATGAACACTCATTATATGCTTTGTTCTTCATGTTTTCAATATGTTATAATATTTTATAATTTATGTGTCATTTTATTTTACAATTTATGCATTCTAATACAACTATGCATTTTTTAAAGTATAAGTAGACATTTATTTACATGTTATATAATAAATTTAATTAAAATTAAAAAAAAACTGCCTAAACGCCTAAACGCCTAAACGCTAGACTCTTGCCCGTCACCGAAGGATGAAAAATGTTTATACTGCACATAAATAGTGTACACTGTCGAGTTTATTGTATCACTATTTTCTCTTTTGGCAGTTTCTGTATTTATTATGGAGTATTGATGTTAGTGCATTTTTTTTGTTTGTATTTTGTGTTCCACGATGATAATCAGGTTGCGTGTTATTTTTTAGGTTTGGATAATTTGTGTTATGTACATTCTCTCTTTTTGGTTAATTAGCCTCTTGCCACACGTCTACGCGTGTGTCAATTGGTGCTTTTTTATTGTTTTGAATCTTAGTTTCTTGTTTTAATTTTACTTATTTTTTATAAAATGGGTCCATTATTTAATAGTTTGACTTGACGGTCATAGTTTGGGAAAAAAGGAAAGAAAAAAAAAAGGCTCGACTGGGCTCTGAGTCTAAGAAGGCCTGGGTTTCAAGCCCATTTGACAGCCCAATTTCCAATTTAATTTAACCGGAGTCGTGACCCAACTTAATTAATAGCCGTTTTTTACTACCACAAGCCCTAAACTTAACTTTCCCTCTCTCTCTTCGCGCGCTCGCTCGCTCTCGCTCTCTCTCTCGTCAGCTCTCCTCGCTCTCCTCCATCATATCTCTCGATCGCTACTGTTGATCACGACAGAGCTTGAGTGGATTTGGCGGAGACCTTCGCCGTCGCCGTTATCAGCAGGCCTCTTCGTTTGGCGTTTGTGGTGATATATATTCCTTTCTCCTTGTTCTCTCGATTTCTTTATGTAATTTTTTTGTTCGATCGTTTAATTCGATTGTTGGATTTGTTTGATTTGTTGAATTTGTTGAATTTTTTCGATTTTGCCCTAATTCTGAATTTTTTACATGGCTGACAAAACTAATTTGCTGGCCGCCGATCCTTATTCGGAATTTCTAAGAAATGTGCATGACATTGTAAGGGAGTCGGTGGTGAGTAATGAGAGGCTTTTTCTTGACATTTTTGCTGTAAATGATGTGAGGGAAGAAGTTGAGAGGTTCAAGAGGACCCCTTTTGCACAGAAGGCGGAGAGGGACCAAAAATTGAAAATCCTTTTGTCTTTCCGCTGATTATTCTTTTTTTTTTCTTCTTCTGATATGTACTACTAAATTACTAATTGAGTTCTGTAATTTTGTTTGATAAAAAATTTCTTATAGGAAAAGGTCGAGTACATATGGTTAGCATCAATCTTCCGTCACATGGTTTGATATGGTTTTCTCATTGGTTTAGTTACACACATATCATGTATTTCCAGGTGCTGTATTTGATTTGGTATGTATAATTGTCAGTAGAGTTCTCGGTTTTCTTTGTCCCTTTGCGGAATTGTTGTGTGCGTGCTTGTGTATCTAAAATTTGCTCATCATTCCTTGTTTCAAGGTTTTGTCAAGTTCATGAAGCTAGTGTAGTGCTTGCTTGGTCTGTGTGTGAGTTGGAGGGGTGGGGGGTTTCTAAATAGAGTCGGTGGCCAGGGAAATTTGATTTAGTTTTGTGGCATTTAATTTTTAGCGACATAGGTCCAGTTTCTTCCAGATACAATGTTTTCTTGTGCAGATCTGTTTTTGGCCAAGTGGAGGAAACGGGGTTCCTGTGCTAAAATCTGATAGTCTAGTTTTAACAAGGGATGTATACACGTTCCCATTTGAATTGTCAGTTCCTTTTTGTTTTCATTAGAAAACTGCACACACGACCACATAAGGTGATATATATGTTCTCAGTTCCTCTTTTGCAGTAAACATACAAAGATCAGCTGAAGACATTCTTAATCATGTAATGATATCACAGTCCCATTTTTCCGGACCACTAATCACCCAGGTAATCAGTGTGCCCTCTCTATTTAACATTCATTCTTACAAGGTTATTGTAATTTTATGTGTACTTTGTGTTGTGATTCTTGTGAATAGTGATATTGTATATGTCAATCACAAACAAGGTTGACTTCATTTTTACTTTTTATAATCAGTTTTGTTGTGAAGTTTTAAATTTCCTTTGACATCCAACCTCTCTTCAACACTTTTGGGTTTGTCTGTTAAAGTTAAGCACAAGGGAAGGACATCCGGCAAAAAAGGCCGTCTTTGCCTTTGGACTTACTCAAGTGTTGTAATTCTTTTAATTATTTTGCATAAACTTGGCATACAGCAAGGTTTCCTTCTTCGCTAGCATTCTTGATTGTGTTACTTTCAGTTTACTGCTGATATGATTTTCGTTTAATTTTGAAGTTCTAAAGGCGTGTGAGTGTTAATTTAAAATTTGCATCACATTGATAATTTGATATGTTGGTATCAGTTGGGTGGGTGACCAATTCAGATTTAAAGTTTGTACTTCTACCATGTTTCTATTTTGTTTAGTAGAGGGTTGGTTTTCTCTTTGTAGATTGAGGCTGTTTTTGTGTGTTTACTTGCTGGAATATTTAACGGTGGTTGTTTTTGGGATATGTAGGTGAGACCATCGATGCAAGGGACGTACCATAGGGAATCAGGATGATGGATACACACGGTTCAAGTTCTCAAATGGAGCCAGCTGGGATTACGGCACACCATTCAGAGAGACCAGTCCTTAATCCTCTCTTAAACCACCATCTGCCACAAGTAATCAGTCGCCGCTTCCCAAGTCAGTATTTTGATTTCAATGTCCAATATGTGGTTTCTGCGCATGTGGGAATTTAGATATGTAATGTAACAGTGCTCTGCCATAACTGATAAGACGGTGTGTGTTGCCTGCTAAGGTTTTTCTGATTGTCTTTGTTGAGGAACTTGGTCTTTTAACATGAACATACTGTTAGTACTTGCATCTTCTCCATTCGTTCACATTTTAGGGAAGCAAAGAAATATGATTGGCGTCGGCGTTGCATTGTTAGGTTCGTTGTTCCTCAAAGGACTTGATGATGTTACACTGTTGTTTCTTTTCTTCATTATTGTACAGGATGAATAGGCCTCTTGATTCCATTTGTTTTAGAGGTATTTGTCAGTTTGCCCTCTGAATTTGTATAGAGTTGCCAATTTCTCCCTAAACTTAATTTTAGCTGATTGCCCCCTTAAACTTTTATAATTAGTCAATTTCCGCTTAACTTTAACTTTAGCCAATTCCCCCCCTAGGGTTAGATTTTTAAAAATTTCATCTAATTTTCCATTCTTTTTATGTCCATACATTTGTCATGTGTTGTGTTGTCTACATGATTAAAATGGATGGAAAATCAATGAAAAATTTTAAAATCTAGTCCCGGGGGGGAGGGGGGGTGGGGATTGGCTATTTATAAAAGTTCATGGGAGTAATTGGCTAAATAGAAGTTTTAGGGGGAGATTGACTAATTATAAAAGTTCAAGAAGGTAATCAGCTAAAACTAAAATTCAGGAGAGAAATTACAGCTCTAAATAAGTTCTGGGGACAAATCGACAAATGAGTTAATCCGTCAATGATTTATATGTTACGATTTTAGTTTACATTCTTTTTTTGTCAATGTTGGCAAATTGAAAAATTCATTAAAGATTTTACAGTTTATCCGTGTTTTTCAGTGAGCTGGTTTTTTGAAGCTGCCTTTTGCAGCTTCAGGTTTTGGGCTTATTTTCATCCAAAACTTTGAAATAAAGCTGATTTGGAGTGTTTACCATACACCAAAAACTCTCACAACTTTTTTTGATACCCAATTTTTTTAAAATTACCTCAGTACCAAACTAGGGCTTACTTTGCCACCCACCATTAAAGGTAAAAACAACGGAATACTATTTTCACACCCACCATTACTCTTAAAATAACTTTAATTTTTTAAACTTTTTTCACTATTTCTACACTATTAAAAAAAATTATATTAGAAAACTTCAAACGCCAACCTAACCGCAAAACCATCCCCCCTCCCACCCCCAACACTTAAAATAACTTTAATTTTTTAAACTTTTTTCACTTTTTCTACACTATTAAAAAAAATTATATTAGAAAACTTCAAACGCCAACCTAACCGCAAAACCATCCCCCCTCCCACCCCCAACACCAGGTGCGCCCACAAACACCCAAAACCCACCCCAGTCCCAAATTTTACAGAACTACCACCACTGCTCCCAAACCGCCTACCTCCTCCACCCATCTAGGCCTCCATCTGTACACATTTTTGTGGCCGAATTTGAATCAATGTGGCACACTATTGTTAACTACATTGCAAAAGATGAAGAATTGGTGCAAAGAAAGAGGAAGAATTGGTAAAGAGAAACGAGAGAAAATGTATTGATTGATTAGAGAAAATGTATACAACTGAACTTAAGGAAATGATAGCTATATAAGGAAATTACTATAATACTCTTCTAACTATATTTCTGTTATATTAGTTATTAACTATCACGAGGGGTTTGTTATGGGTTGGCTGTCATCGTGCAAGAGGGTAAATTTGTCAACAAAATATTTAATTTGATATGGGTGTAAAAATAAGGCAAAAGGGTGAGCATAGGAGCATTCTTATAAAAAGACATTGATGACAGCGTGCTGAAATGTTTGTTCTAAGTTACTCAAAGCCTGGAATCTCGTAGCACCAAAAAAATTCACTGTATTAAATGGAACAGTCAGTGTCGGTGTCGTGGTACGAATGGTGGTTTTGTCATTGAATCTCTCCACTGCCGGCATCATCAATACATAAGAAGTAGCATACTGTACAATAATTAGCTCAAATTAAGCCTATACAAAAATTTCATTAAGCTCGACACATGCAATCAGGAGCAGGGTACGTGTATATCGATTGTTTGTCCTTCCTCAGCCTCATCTGCCCCTGTCTAGTTTTGTGCCCATCTGAAGGCGCACGTTGGAAATCCGACCATTCCATGCTCTTATTCACGAAAAGTTTGCCCGACAACGCCATGTTTGGTCTAATAGTCTTCAAGTTCATGTAAGCCCGGTGACCCACCTGACGATACAATTTTTAATCCTATCGTACTCAGTGCACAAGGCTCCCGCTTTACGCAGAGTCTGGAAGAGGTGAATGTCGGCTAGCCTTACCCCTATTTATGGAGAGGCTGCTCCCAAACAATTTTTAATCCTGTCAGCTCACAATTTTTAATCCTGTCAACATTTATGGAGAAGGAACCTAAGGAATCGCATGAAACGCTTGGGGCTCGTTTGTCAACATTTTTGCTTTTGTTTCAATTGAAGAGAGAGGGAAATGAAAATGACAGAGATGAAGATAAGGAGAATATCTAACTTAAAATGTTCCAAATTTTACAAACAAAAACATCTACAAATGAGCCCCTTGCCATTAGACCCTAAATACCAGCAAAGACATTCTGCTTTTAAGACAAACCTTGTAAGAAGCAAGATAGAGACGGGTGGTATTGTTGAAGCCCAAAGCTGCCAGCAGCAATCCAATCTCTTCAGGAGTCAATGGCAACGCCCTTGATTTCTTAACTCCTCATCTGTGAACTGAGAATTTAGGACCCTACCCTGCCAGATTACTTGCCGATATTTTGCAAGGGCGAGTTTCTCAGCTTTACCTCCACCAAAATCACACGCTGAATGAGCAGCTATGTCCTGTGTGTATGTGCAGGCAAAGAAGTTATTAGGAAATACTAATCCCGCAGATGTAATTAAGATTCTTAGAAAAAGCTTTAAGATTCTTCAAAAATTATTTTGTACAGTATATATTTCTTAAAACTTATATTAGCCCCAAGACTCCGAAATGATTATGTTTGTACCATACTTGACCAATCCCGAAACTACTGAGCACTGATCAATGTTATACCGTCAAGGACCCACAACAGTTTCCCTCCAACCAGGAGGCCAATCACAGTGCGACACGTGTCGACATCAGAAGCCAATCACAGCGCGACACGTGTCAACATCAGAAGCCAATTACAACACGACACGTGTCAATGTCAGAACAAAGCTAGAAACTCTTCTATAAAAGGAGATCATTCTCCCACAATATTGCCTAATGTCATTTGTACTAAATCATTCACTAGTACTTACTAAAAGAGAGCTTGAACATATGTACTTGTGTAAACCCTTCACAATTAATGAGAACTCCTCTACTCCATGGACGTAGCCAATCTGGGTGAACCACGTACATCTTGTGTTTGCTTCTCTGTCCCTATCCATTTACATACTTATCCACACTAGTGACCGGAACAATCTAGCGAAGGTCACAAACTTAACACTTTCTGTTGTACCAAAGTCCTCACTGATTTTGTGCATCAACAGATTACATAATCAAACATGCCAAGGATCTAAAGCTAATTAAAAACATACTTTATTGAAGCGAAGATGCAAAACAACATATTTCCCAGCTCCTTGTTTCTCAATTTCATTTGCCTTGTCCTGTGAGTCACTACCTCCTTTGGGGTTTCCATTGGGAGGGTAGCGGAGACGATTAACAAGGGTTTCTCCCAATTCCCTGATATGAGGAACAAAGGCTAAAGCTTGAAAGTTGACTTTACAACTTACGCGCTGTATGTTTTGAGGCAAGTTGTCAAAGGCCAAACGATGAGAAAATGGGGAGATAGCAGCAACTCCATATCTGTAGCAGTGAAGCACCTTTTAAGTAATGAAAAGATATTCGTTTAAAATTTAGATCCTAAAAAGTAACCTATTGTACTGAAACATAGGCATATAATTCAGATTGGTAGCTCAAGTTGTGCTCAGAAAAGATACTCTAACATAAAACTAAAGGATATCTCTGGCTTAAAGTTAACCCTAGAAAACCATGCTATTTCCGTCCACAAATGACTGTCTTGAATTCGTTCCTCTATCTTTCTTGCCTTGGAGCAGCAAGAGGTACACGGGAATCAATTTCTGTAATTCAATATACCTTCCCTTTGAGATCTCTTCTGAAGGTGCAAAAATCTATAATGAATTCCACTTATGGTATTGAATTTTTTAAAACACTGACTCAATCCATCCACAATTAAGGTCGTACCCAGTGCACAAGGCTCCCGCTTTACGCAGGGTCTAGGAGAGGTGAATGTCGGCTAGCCTTACCCCCATTTATGAAGAGGCTGTTCCCAAGTCTCGAACTCGAGACCTACCGCTCATGGGCGAAGGCACTTGCCATCGCACAATTATTTTATTAAAATCCAACACATAATGTAACTTGAAAACCTGATGCCTTGACATGCAGATACATAAGTATTTCTATGATGCATTACTAAGTTCTAACTATATGCCATGCACATTAACCAAACAACCTATTTCCCAAAGTCATGACCCTTATATAATATTACCATGCCAAAACTTACCTTGTTATGACAACTTCTTTCTGCTATTTACCCCGGTAAAAAGATGACAACTAATGTCCAAGTTTGTAACACAAGCTATCACGATCACAACTTTAGGGAATGATACACAGCACGGTCCAATACAAGATGGAATCTGAACTTTAGGACACACAACATATATGATATGGACAATAGTATACGATACAACAACTTTCTACTCAATAAAGGGTCAACGCATTTACTGACCTTTGCAATAAGGGCAAGACGTTTTCCAGATACCAATCAGAAGAAGCGTGAACAGGTGCTGTTTTTATTCTAGTAATCCTTATGCCAGTAGCATAATACTCCCTAGTGCTCCAAGAAAATTCACTAGGAAGGGCTTTAACTATAGAAACTTCACCCTGTAGGGCTTCAATAAAGTGATCCACATCAAAAATGTCCTCAAAGGAGCTGCAAAAGCACAAGGAGTTTCACATCAACGGCTCCCCTTAGACAGAAATAATAATTTTCTAGGAACGGTTCCAGGTTAGCATACTCACTATATACCTCGAATCTTGCCACACAGGATTAACTTCAAGGTGTGGAATAACCAAAGTGGCATTCAAAATTTTAGCAACAGCAACAGCAACTGCATCACAAATCTTTTAGATGAAAAAAAGACCAAATAAATTAAATTAGACAACATCATTTTGTACACCCAATTGGCTTAATATTACAAGTTATAGCACGACTTCCCTCACAAAATTTTCAAAACTTAC